GACTCCTCCAGCGAGGAAGCCTTCAGCGCTGGCCCTGCAAAGGGCCAGCTGCCCCAGCGGACCCCAGGGACGCGGGAGAGGGTGCGGTTCAGTGACAAAGTGCTCTACCATGCTCTGTGCTGTGATGATGAGGAGGGGGACGGTGAGGAAGAGGCTGAGGAGGAGGTGGGCCTGCCCCCCGAGCCTCCCCATACAGAGGCCCCTGCGGACCCCCTCAAGCCCTCCCCTGCCCCCTACAAGTCAAGGCGCTCTCCACTGACCAGCCACCGCTCAGGCTCCACCTTGGCCCCCGAACAGACCCGAAGGGTCACAAGGAACAGCAGCACCCAGACGGTGTCAGACAAGAGCACGCAGACGGTGCTGCCCTACACAGCCACCAGACAGAAAACCAAGGGGAAAAACTAGGGGCCAGGGAGGGGACGGGGTGGGGCGGGCACATAGAGCTATAAATATATATATTTAAACAAACACAGTCATAATAAAATTTAAAAATGCTAAGGATCCGGCTCCACAGGCCCCAAAACTTTCACGGAGCTCCCCTTAGACACACAGATGCCTGCTCCCCTCCTAGATCCCAGGCGGTGTGGCCAGAACCGCCCTCCCTTCCCTCTCATTGCAGGGCTCCTGAAGGGGTACCTGAAGGTATGTAAATTAGTTGGGGGAGATCTAGCCTGGCCCTCCTCTTGCAGGCCCTGAGCACCATAGTGGAGTCTGGCTGCAGGCCTGGGCTGTATCCTGGAGAGGGCTCGGCAGTAGGAAGCAGGCTCTAGAGGGGCAGTGTCTGAGGCCAGGGCTCACAGTCGGGATGGTTTGGAGCCTGCAGGACTCAAGGCCTGGGGGGTGGCCTTACTCAGCTGGGCCCTAGATCACTGGCATCCACCCCCTGTCCTTCTGCTATAAGGCAGACTTTTTTGCCTCCTTCTCAAAGGCAAACTTGCCCATAAACACAAGTGCACCTCACTTCCATCTGAGGTTTACCCGGGACGCAGATGAAGGGCAAGCTGCTCCCATGAGCAGGCCTCTGCGCTAGGATGCTGGGCTTCCGCAGAGCCTGCAGGATCAGGCTGTGCTGGCCAGGGGCTTGTCTGGAAAGCCTGGACCATCCCCAATCCTTTCAGCTCCCCTTCTCAGCTCGTCCTCTAAGGATCAAAGCCTCAGGGAAGAGCCTCAGCCAGCCCCAGCTTGGCCCTGAGCAGACCTGAGATCTGTGCAAAGCAGGCAGCAGCTGCCATGGGCCTATGAACAGGGCCAGACAGGCTTCCATACCCCTGTACCAGGCAGCCTCAGGGAGGAGTCCAGGGGCCCCACCCTGCCCCTGCTTCTCCACAGACAGCCCCAGCCCACTGTCTTGAGCAGGTCTTGAACAGAGACAAGGTAAGAGACTAGAGGCACCAGGGCTTCATCTAGGGCATGGCCAGCACAGGGACAGCACATGAATATCCTTGGGATAACAACCACAATAATTGCTCACATTTATTGAGCAGGTTTCTATGCCACTACTATGTTTTCTGCATTATCTCATTTAATCTTCACAATAATCCGACAAGATAGGAACTATTATTATCCCCACTTTTCAAATGAGAAGGCTGAGGTTCAGAGTGATTAAGTAACTAGCCCAAGATCACAGAGCCTGTGCCACCCTGCCCCCCATGAGCAAGTGGTTTCCAGGCTGTTCCTGGCTCTGTTGTCTAGCAGCTGTGTGCCCTTGGGCAAGTCCATCTGCCTCTCTGAGTCTATCTGCTTCATCTATAAAATGGCTCTGATAGTCTTTACCCTCCTCCCCAGCTGCTGTGGGCTCCAACGAGATGGCAAATGTGAAAGCACTTGATAAACTGAAGACACTGGGCAGGCATTATGGTCAATGTGGCCCCAACCTATATTTCCAGTGATTTCCAGGGCAGGGAGCACGCTTCATCTATAAAATGGCTCTGATAGTCTTTACCCTCCTCCCCAGCTGCTGTGGGCTCCAACGAGCTGGCAAATGTGAAAGCACTTGATAAACTGAAGACACTGGACAGGCATTATGGTCAATGTGGCCCCAACCTATATTTCCAGTGATTTCCAGGGCAGGGAGCACCCCTGAGTGGGATGGGGAGAAAGCCACCCCCATCTGACTGGGAGCCACCCTCAGGTCACAAGCATTGCATTGCTTTGTCCCTTGCAGCAGCAGGAGGTCGGGAGGTGGCCACAGCTTGATTCACTGCCCCTCACTCAGAGCTGTGAGGTTGGTGCCAGTGGCACCGCAAGGACATCACTCCTCAGAGACCACCCTGCTGCACATTTCAACTAAAGCAGACTTGCAACCCAACAAGGCCTGTCAGAAGGGGGCCCTCATGTGGGGGCCTCAGCCAGACAGTATCCACTGCCTTTGCCTGAGGAGATGCTCTCCAGGCCCAGCATGGGGAGACAAGCGAGATCATGCGGGCCAGTCTGGAGCAGATGCAGGGAGACTAACAGAATGAGATGGGGCAGACCAAGGATGCTCTGCAGTGTGGGGATTTCTTCCCAAGCCCTTGGTGAGGTCAGAGCCCTAGAGGGCTAGCCAGAGTGCAGCGTCCAGTGTGGAAATCCAGGGTTGGGCTGGGCCATGGCCAGCTCTTTCCTGAGTGCCGGCCGGGGGGGTCTGAGCCCTTCTATGAGCCCCAGGAAACCCTCAGGAAGTTGGTACCAGTGACAGGACCCTGGTTCAGAGGATGAGTGCCAGGGGCTCCTCTGAGGGGAGGGGCTAGCTGTCTGCCCTCCCTGACTGTGAGGGGGCCAGTCCCCACCCGGGGATGGGCCCACCCAGCTCTGAAGATGCACATCCAGTTCTCTCTCTGAAATTTGTTTTTACCCTCCAACGGCAAGGTCATTTTTCTCTCAATTTTTGTTTTGTTTTGGGCCAGTATGGGGATCTGAACCCTTGACCTTGGTGTTACAAGACCATGCTTTAACCAACTGAGCTAACAGGCCAGCCTGGCAAGGTCATTTTTAGACTTTTAGTCTCCCATCATTTCAACAGTCAGGGAAAAGAATCTTACAGAATAGTTCCCATTTCACAGAGGAGGAGACTGAGGGCCAGAGGCAGGGCTCTCTAAGAGGGTCCTGCATAAAGATCTGTCCTCTCTTGGGGGATCGCTCAACCCCTGAGCTCTATGTGACTGCATGTGGTTATGGCTAACATCATAAGCTGCTCTCTGCTCCACGACCTGGCTACTTGCCCCAAATGGGGCAGTGGTGGGAGCGTGTCCCGGAAGAGGGTTTTGAAATGGATATAGGTTCAGGTTTGGGAAGGCCTGAGAAGTAGCTGGCTGCCTTCATCATTTTGCCTCACCCAGTGCGTGCCTCACTGACAGTGGAGTGGGATCCCCGTGACTTCTCTTGACTTGAAACACAGAATGTGGCCACCTAGGGAGAGAGAGAATTCTGACTATCAGAGCTGTTAAGCCATGACGGGGCTGCTTCTGAGTAGTGAGCTCCCCATCCTGGAGGCAGACACAGCCATCCCTCGGGACCTTCCTCCAGACCCACCTGCTCCACCTTCACTGCTCTTCCCTGCCTCCAAATCTTTGCCAGTTTCTGGATTTCCTCATCCCGAATGTCCCATCAGATCTGTTTCCAGGAAGTCTTATTTCACCAACCACCTGCTGTGTACACAGGCTTGTGCTGAATGGCACTGTGGAGGAGGCGGGAGGGAGCCAGGCACTTGTGACAGCGAGGAGCCATAATCATAATAAATCATGCACGTTCACTGAGCATGGACTGTGCCCTGGGCATTGTTCTAAGCATATGCTTTATCTCATTTATTCCTCACAGCAAATATGAAATAAGCAATTTTATTTATGCCTAAATAGTTTCCAGATAAGGAAACGGAGATTCTGAGAAGTAACTTGCCTAAGGGTACACAGAATGGGTTATGGAACCAGGATTCAACCCCAAACTCGTTGACATAGCACTCAAACACCTGCTGCAGTCAAAATGCACAGTGAAGCTGGTGCTTTGGTCTCTAGGGGTGAGGGTGGGGGCTGGGTGGTCTGAGAGCCAAGCAGGACTTGGGGAATGGGGGATGGGATGTGGGGCATTGGGAGGAGGAAATCTGTGAACATAGTTCAGTCTTTGGAGAACTTGGCTTCTGTTAAACTGAATGTCGTAACCCCTGATTCAGAGTCTGGCACCAAATGGATTATAGGTTCAAGAAGTGTTTGCTGAGGCCAGCCCGTGGCTCACTCGGTAGAGTGCGGCGCTGATAACACCAAGGCCACGGGTTCGGATCCTATATAGGGATGGCCAGTTTGCTCACTGGCTGAGCGGGGTGCTGACAACACCAAGCCGAGGGTTGAGATCCCCTTACCGGTCTTCTTTTTTTTTAAAAAAAGAAGTGTTTGCTGAGGCCAGCCCGTGGCTCACTCGGTAGAGTGCGGCGCTGATAACACCAAGGCCACGGGTTCGGATCCTATATAGGGATGGCCAGTTTGCTCACTGGCTGAGCGGGGTGCTGACAACACCAAGCCGAGGGTTGAGATCCCCTTACCGGTCTTCTTTTTTTTTAAAAAAAGAAGTGTTTGCTGAGGCCAGCCCGTGGCTCACTCGGTAGAGTGCGGCGCTGATAACACCAAGGCCACGGGTTCGGATCCTATATAGGGATGGCCAGTTTGCTCACTGGCTGAGCGTGGTGCTGACAACACCAAGCCAAGGGTTGAGATCCCCTTACCGGTCTTTTTTTTTTTTAAAAAAAGAAGTGTTTGCTGAATGGATGAATGAGCCCCATTTGCAGAGGGGGCATCCATTGTGCATTCATTCAATCAGCTTTTATTGCAGCCCTCCTATATGGCAGGTCTCATGTTGCTTGCACACACACGTACACACAATGCCTCTGTGAGAGTCTAGTGTGGCTGGAGGCTGGGCAAAGTCAAAACTGAAGGGTGTTGGCTTTGGCACTGAGAAACCAGAGGTGGTGTTGGGTCCAGCCTGCAATGCTGGGGGAAGAAGACAGGGCCAGAAGCATGAGGCAGGAGACTAGCTTGATGAGGAGACGACTCTGGGACATATCCTGAGGTGGGGAGGGGTCTGCAGCCTGACACCACTTTAATAGGGTGGGCACATTGCAGTGTCCCTCGTGTCTGAGAATGAGGAGGCATCATTTTATAAATGAGGGACAGATGATGTGTTCTACAGAAGTGGTCTGATGGGACCAAGGGCCAGAAAGGAGGGTAAACTATCCAGAGATCCCAGAAACATCCCTTGTCCTTAGAGACAAAGTGAAGCTGTGTGGACAAGAAAGGTAAAGGGGGAGAGGGGCAGGAACTCAAGAGGTAGCAGGCCCAGCCCTCCACCAAGACCCCTCCTGAGTTCCCTTTCTCTTTCCAACCCCTCCCACCCCCTACCTATCTCCCATCCCACAGCTGGGACTTGGGTGAGAAAACTGACATTTATGGACAACCTAGTATACCCCAGGCACCATGCCACATTTTTTTTTTTCTTTTTGTCTTTTTTTTTTCGTGTCCGGCAACGGATCGCAAC